CAGGCGCACGACAGAAGCCTGACTCGAGCGATCTCGACGCTCGCGGCTGGTTACTTGCCCGCAGAGGCGCACGACACAAGGCTGACTCGACCGATCTCGAGGCTCGTGGCTACTTGCCCGCAGAGGCGCAGGACACAAGGCTGACTCGAGCGATCTCGAGGCTCGTGGCTGGGCGCCTAGAATGTCCCAGCGCTAGAGAGGTCCTTGGCCGACCTGGCCAAGAAACCCCTCTTGCGCTGGACTTCGAACCACTCTCCCACGCGAGCACGGCATCCTTTGGGGCCGTCCTTGCATGGGAGACACTTGGTGCAAAGCTGGGCGGCAGCGCTAGCCTCCTCGCAGCTGCCGTACTTCGGATCGGCCGCCGTGGGGCCCTTGCAAGGGTTGGACTTGTGCTTGGCCTCGGCCTTGGCCCTGGCCTTGGCCATCGCCGCGTAGTTGTCGCTCGCCTCCTTGAATTGATTGATGAACTCGTTCCCTCGAGCGACCGCGGCGTGGAGAGCTTCTGCCACTTGGCGACCCTCGCCGCGGATCTCGCGCAGGGCGCGCTCGATCCAGCGGCTTGCCCAGAGGCCGCAGCTCAAAACCACCCACTCGGCACCGTCTGTTGCTCGGCGCTGGGCAATGTTCGCCAGGGCCAATGGCGCCGAGCTCGCGAAGGATCCTCGCGGCGGCCTTGGGGGGCCACGGGCAACCCCCGCCCGCGATTTCTGAGGAGGAGGAGGGCAGGGCACACTGCGCTCGGCAGCTCCCGAGCAAAGTGACCCCCACCTTCCCCCCTCAGAAATCGCGGGGCGCAGGCGTGAGTTCGCATTGCTTGGCGTTCTCGGACGGCTGCTCGAGGGCGTCGCGGTAGTCCACCTCGACGCCGCGCCCGTCGATCCTCGAGACCTGGCGGGAATTGCCGCGAGTGCCCCCTGCCCAGGGCGCCTCCAAGAGTCGCCCCAAAACGGGGCGAAACGCTGGAGGCACCCTGGGGTGGGGGGGGGCATTGCAGCAACCGCCGACCTTGAGGTGCGCGTAGTGCGCGGGCGCCTCGGAGTGCACGCAGACCAGCACGTGCTGGGCCTTGTCGACCCTCTCGGCCCAGCGCACCTGCCCCTCGGGCTGCTGGGCGGCGGGCGCGTCCTCGCCCTGGCCCTCTCGAGCCCAGGCGACGGCCACCGCGGGCTCGACCACCAGCCCGTTTTCGGGGACGCCCACTCGCCCCTCGATCTCGCCCAGCAGCGCGCGCACCGTGCCCAACTCGAGGGCGTCGCCCTTGACGATCTGCTCGAGGTCCATGATCGCGTACTCCTTGGCGAGCGCGGTGCGGCGAGCGTGTCTTGTCTGGCGCCAGTGGAGCTTCTGCGGCTCGGGGAACTTGTAGCCCTGCTCGATCGTGACCTGTGGCGCTCGGGATTCGCAGGCGCTCGTTAGCTTCCGCCTGCTTCCGCTTCCGACCTCCAACTGCTTCCGCCTGGTTCCGCATGCTTCCGCGTTTCGCGTTGCTTCCGCCTGCTTTCGCTGCCCCCCCTTTCCCTGTCTACCAACTTCCGCCTGCTTCCGCCGCCCCAGGCAGAAGCAGGCGGAAGCTGACCCTCGAGGCCTCGCTGGCGCTGATCTGGAAGATCGCCGCGGTCTCCACCTCGAGGACGCGCAGGCGGCACTCGTTCTCGGTGCCCAGGACTCGCCAGACGCCCTGCACTCTGCCGCGCCTGCCCTCGCGCCTGCCCCCCCCGGCGACGCGCGCAACCTTGCCGCGCCAGGGGGGCTCCTCGTAAGCCTCGAGGCCGCCCTTATGATTGGCCTTGTCCTTCTTCTTGCTGTCCTACTCCGCTTGCTTCTTCTGCTTGAACTTCTTGGAGAAGCTCGCGCGCGCCTTCGGCGGCCTGCCTGCGAGCTTCGCCTTGGCCACGCCTCTGCCGAGGTGCTCGAGCGAGGTCCCGCCGCCAGCCTTGCCCTTCTCGCGCCGCCACTTGCGAGCGCGCTTGCCCAGGAAGTGGCCCGCGAACTTGGACGCCCACTTGCTAGTGCGTTTAATTGCCCGTGCCATCTTGATCCTGTTCTCGAGGGCGCGCGGGAACTTGTTGTCCTTGATCCGCTCCTATGGCGGTTTGAGCATGTCCTTCTGCTCGTCGGTGAACTCGAGGTCTAGCTCTCGGAGCTCCAGGAAGCAGGGTCTCTCGTCCTCCTCGCAGTCCCTCGGCAAGTCGTCGCCGTGGAAGCAGTTGCCGTCGTGGGCGCTCCACTCGGGCACTGGCGGCCCGCCCTCGGGCAAGCTCTGGGCGCCCTCGAGGCGCTCTCGCGCCAAGCTGTTCTCGATGCCGCGGCCGGCCTCGGTGGAGCAGCTGCACGGCCCCATGCCCGTGACGACCTTGAGCTCGCCTTGCTCTGTCGACGGGACCACGAGCATCTGGTTGGTTTGCAGCCCTTGGAGCGGCAACGCGCCCTTGTTCTGCTCGCGGAAACGGGTGTAGGCCTCGGAGACGTAGCAGAGGCACTCGCAAGGCCCCAATTGCGCTGGGGACATGTACTTTTTCTGGGGATCGGCCTTGGCCATCTGGAGCCAGTCTCGCCCCATGGCCCAGTGCATCTCGGCCTTGACCTCTCGGATATTGACCTTGAGCTGGCTGTGATCGCGGGCGTCGGGCTCTTGCAAGAAGCTCGCGACGTCGGGGGCCACGGGCGCGTCGATGAGATTCCTGGGCCACGCTTGCAGCGCCACTGCCTCGGCCCACTGGCTCGCAGTCTGCGAACACGAGGCTCTGGCCGCGCTCCTGCTCGGTGAAGTCGATGGCCCAACTTGCTACCAGATCGTCCGTCCAGGCCCTCGGCTGCCCCCACGCGTCGATGGCCTCGAAGACTCTCGCGCGTTCCGCCTCGGAGACCTCGAGCAGAGCGTTGCGCCAGCCCTTGAGCAGTGTCCTTAAGGGCTCGCCTGCTCGGAAGCGCTCCGTCTCGCCATCGATCCGCTCGTAGGTGACGTCTCGCCGCCAGGTAACCTCCTAGAGGTGCATGTCGCTGACTCGGCAGTGCCTTGCGCAGGGGACAAGGAGCACGCTGCGCTCCTCGGCGGACCTCGGCCCCCTGCTCGGGTCGAAACAGTTCTCGACCGCGGAGACGCTGACCAGGGTGATCCTGCGTTTGTCCCCTGCGCTCGAATGGGCCTGCTCCACTTGCTCCTTGCGGTCCGGGTGGTCTGCCAAGTACTTGGCTTTCTCCGTCTCGAAGGCTGCCTTGTTCTGCTCGTTGCACGTCTCGCGGAACTTCTTGCGGAGGTTCGCCATGCGTTTCTTGGCGTCCGCGGCGCACACTTTTCGGGCGTAAGAAATGCGCGCAAAAAGAACGGGCACAATGCCCCACAACAACTGTTGCGCTGAACCAACAGCGGCCGCTGCTGGGCAGGCGGCCTTCTGTCTCGAATGGACGCAGGCCGCGGCGACACCGACAACGAATCCTATTCAAAATGAATAGGAACTGCCGCTGGGCACTGCACCCTTTCGCTCCGCGCCCATTTCGCTCGCGCCGAGACCTAGGTCTCGCGGAGACACACGCGCGCTCCTCGCCCGGGAGCTTGAGCCAGAGCGCGGCGGCGTCGACGACGACCACGCTCGTGCTGGCCCTGTGCGCGGCGAAGGTCTCGGGGCCCCCGCAGAAGAGGCAGGTCCCCGGAGCCGCCCCTCGCCGCCAGGTGCACAAACCTCGTGGTAGTAGTAGTAGTAGTAGTAGTAGTAGTAGTAGTAGTAGTAGTAGTAGTAGTAGTAGTAGTGGTAGTAGTAGTAGTAGTAGTAGTAGTACTAGTAGTAGTAGTAGTAGTAGTTGTTGTTGTTGTTCTTGTTCATCGTTCATAGTAGTGGTAGTGGTACTACTACTACTACTACCACTAATAATACTAGTACCTGGTGGTAATACCTTGTAGTAGTACCTGGTAGTAGTAGTAGTAGTAGTAGTAGTAGTAGTAGCAGTAGTACCTGGTAGTAGTACCTGGTAGTAGTAGTAGTACCTGGTAGTACTAGGAGTAGTAGTAGCAGAAGTAGTAGCAGAAGTAGTAGTAGTAGTAGTAGTAGTAGTAGTAGTGCTACATGGTAGCACTATCTGGTAGTAGTACCTGGTAGTAGTAGTAGTAGTAGTAGTAGTAGTAGCAGTAGTAGCAGTAGTAGTAATAGTTAGTAGTACCTGGTAGTAGTACCTGATAGTAGTAGTAGTAGTAGTTCGTAGTAGTAGTAGTAATAGTAGTAGCAGCAGCAGTAGTAGTAGCAGTAGTAATAGAATTAATAGTAGTAGTTGTAATAGTTACGAGTATTCGTAATAGTACTAAGAATAGCTAGTAGTGGCCAAGTTGTCCTCGATGGCCAAGTCGCTGTCGTTGCCGCGGGCGCGCATAGCGCGCTTCGCGGCCCTCGCCTCGGATCTCGCACAGGGCGCGCTCGATCCAGAGACACGCCCAGTTCCTCGTAGCAGTAGTTGTAGTCACGAGTAGCACTCGTGAGTATCACTACGAGTAACTAGTTCTGACTACCACTACTACTAGAGTATTAGAAACTACTACTACTACTACTACTACTACTACTACTACTACAACTACTACTACTACTACTACGACGACGACGACGACGACGACTACTACTACTACTACTACTACTACTACGACTACGACTACGACTACGACTACGACTACGACTACGACTACGACTATGAGTACTACTATTACTACTACTACTACTACTACTACTACTACTACTACT